ACAGCATCATCCCCTTAAGGAGGTGTATACTGAATCTCAGTAAAACTAGGACCGAAAGGAGTCACATGAAATACCATGTCTCCTTCCTTTTTGAACACGAGAATGTCACCGATGCAAAGGGATTGTGCTTGGGCGAAGGCTTCCCAACCATCGGTGAATCTTCTTCCTTCTTGTATAACTTCCCAAGTTTGGTGTGAAGGGTTCGATCGTAGTGTCCATTTTCCTTGGTTCGACGTGCCTTCTATGTGTTTTGAGTAGAAGGCAAGTGGTATTGTCTACAAGTCAACAAAGGAGAAGATAAGCAAAGGAAATAAACAGAGGAGAAATAGAGAGCATGTGTATACCACGCCACTGTAGAAACCAGGAAGCAGAGGCTTCAAGAAGTGAGGTTCATGCTGATTCGCCATCTGGAAACAAGAAACGAATTGGAAACATTTTAATTCTAAGTCGTCTGGGTCGTCCACCTGGTAGACTTATAATTAAGTCGTGTGGAAAGTCTTCCAGGTGGACGACCCTAATTTGAAATGAAAATATCCACAAATTGCTTGAAATCACAAATAGTAACCGTAAAATGAGAGGAAAACAACATCCAACCTAACTAAACAACAAGTCGATTGAAATCCCCAATTTTTGAAACCCTAATTTGAAACCAAAAATTTCCCCAAATCGTTGAAAACACAAAACCAAANTGGAAAGTCTTCCAGGTGGACGACCCTAATTTGAAATGAAAATATCCACAAATTGCTTGAAATCACAAATAGTAACCGTAAAATGAGAGGAAAACAACATCCAACCTAACTAAACAACAAGTCGATTGAAATCCCCAATTTTTGAAACCCTAATTTGAAACCAAAAATTTCCCCAAATCGTTGAAAACACAAAACCAAACGGTAAAAGTAAAGGAAAACAACATCCATCCTAATAAAAACCCATAAATCTGCCAGAGAAGCCTTCGATTTACCTTGGTCTTATAGCAGATCGTAATCGCCTCGAAATCACCTTTGAGAGAAACGGCGTTAGAGATTTATGAGTTTCGCGAAAAGTGAGTCAAAAAAAAAACATCTTATATATGTCCGGTAAAATACGGTTATGTTTAAAAGTAATTTGGTAAAATCCGGTTTGGACGACTTATAATTAAGTCGTCTGTTGATACTATACATCCGAATAAGTCGTCTGCCTTATTAAATTAAGTCGTCCAAACCCTAAACCCTAAACTAAATTGACTAAATTAACTACCAACCATGTTATAAAATCAAATTATACTTAAATAGTGTTTACTATACACAGAAATAAACACACTTAGGTAAATTTTAAATTTAAAAAAAAAAACATTTATGCTTTCGAATTTCTAACCCTAAGAAACACATACAATACTACAATATATGTTGGTGAAACCAAAACTAAAGAATATCATCACTCACTACTTTCACTTATCTATCCTGAAAACAACTGACTTTTTTTATGTCTTAATTTATATCGCTTAAGACATATGTTAATTACATAATCCCAATTTTTTTATTTATCAAGATATTTATTACACAATTTTTAAATTATTTTTAAGAAAAACTTTCCCAGACGACTTTAAACTAAGTCGTCCAGACGACTTAATTGAAAGTCGTCTGGGTAGACGACTTGCGAGGGCTAGAAACGTAAAAAAAAAGACTCTTTTTTTGTTTGTTCACAAGGGTTGGTTGTAATTTCAACAGTCTTTTAAGTTATTTTTTCATTTGATTCAAGTTTGGGTTTACTTTTGCATTTCAAATCAAGTTTTGAGTCATATTTGGCAATTTTCCCTATATTAATTGTATAATATTTGAATTTTTGAATTACTACATTTAAATTAAAAATATTTAATAACATTTTTTGGAAAATAATTATGTATAATTATTTTTAATTTTTATATTTTCTAAGAAAAAATGATCTTCCAAACGCTCCATATGACACCTTTGAGAAAATAGCATTTGGAGAACATTAGCATCTTGTAAATGAATTTCTAAATGCTTTTCTCATAAATGTTGATTGGATAATAAGAGTATAATTCTTATGATAATACTACCAATCAATCCATCAACATCTAAAGGTGAAGATGAAGTCATTTCCGAGAAGATGTAATAAAATTTGTCTAGAAGAAGAATCAATGAGAGAATCAAATTTAAAATATTCCTCTGTTTACACAGAGTATATATTAACCGGAATACAAGATGTGTTATGAATGTGGTATATTCTTAATCAAAAGAATAAAAATAGGAGATGTAAAGGTAGAGTAAGAAAAACTGATTCATGAAAATAAAAACATTCACTCTATGAATATGAGGATCTAGCGAATTAATGATTAACCGAGGATACCCAGAAATTAAATAATTTATTTTATTTATAAAATAACTTAGGTACTATAGTCTACTATTCCTAAAATATGTCAAGTATCCATAGTAGTGTGGTGGTAAAGACTTTGTTTGAAAAGTAAAGACTTTGTTTGAAAAGTAAAGAATCTGGATTCACTTCTTGATCAATCCATTTTTATTTTTCTTGCAGTGGGATCCACAAATATGTTGATGTGGCGCGATGAGAGTGAGCAAAATACCTCATTAGACCATGTGCAATGGGGAATCCTTAAGGGGAGTCCTTAGAAAAATATTAATTTTATAATCATTGGGTCCCATGAATAGTTAAGGATTTTATCCTAAAAATCCTTATGTAAGGATCAATCCTTACACTATTCATGGGCTCCACTGCACACGTGGCGTTCCGTGAGTGGTCAGTTTATTTTTTTTTTAAAGAAAAAATCTGAAATATCCTTATATAATCTGAAATACCCTTTTTATTTTTTTTCCTAAGGACTCCCCTAAGGATTCCCCATTGCACATGCTCTTATAATATAGATTTGTGATATAATTTCACTTGATTAAAAAGATATTTAAGGATATAAATTACTTTTCTTAATTATAAGTTTAATAACATACGTTACATTTTTTTTTGTCCATCTCATTTTTTCTCTTTGTTTTTAACTTAAGTATCTTTCAACTGTAAAGTACTTAATATAAAAGCAAGTAATTGCATTTAACTTTAATTAAGCCTTTTGAAGTATTTTAATTTTAATTTGTATACTCTATGAACTGTTAAAAAATGTCATTTATATAGCAGAAATTTTATATTAAGAAATATACTCATCTGAAACAAGTATATAATATTCTAAATATGTTCGCTAATAAATATAGAAGGACGGAAATATAGATTAACTCTTTTGCATGAAAAATAAGACTGAAGATCTGGTACTGTATGAACACCGGGCTTATCTATAGTCTCCATCCTTTTGCTTGAGAGTTCTTCACATATTAGGAAAATTTTCTCTATTGGGTTAAGGACTGTATGAACACCGGGCTTATCTATAGGACAGTAGCTCACTGCTACAACCACCTCTCACAGCGGAAAAGTCCAACACTCACACTTCCAGTTTGTGTGAGGTCGATAGTATGTTCAGGTTTAGTCTGGGTAGATCTCGTCGGTTTTGGCACAGGAATCTCCATCCATTGTCAACTTCAGCATCAAATTTAGGTAGTTCAGGACTTTTTGATACTGTTTCTACTGTTCTAGAGTACCCCACCTCTTACCAGCGAACATTTAGATTTTTCAGAGACAATATGCAACCATTCTCAAAATTTCTCAGTCAGGTCTTCTAGAATTGACTACTTCAACTATATCCTTTTCCAAACATCATTTACAGAGTTTAATAAGATCGTACGAGTTTTTCAGTCTTTCAAGACACGTATCTATTTTCTATGTTGTTGTAGTATCTTTCATTCATCGTCTTTCCGTTGAGTTTATCTTTGGGTGTAGTCGTCTTAGTCCATAGAATTTTTTAATTTTAAAATATTAAATTGGTGCACCAAAAGAATTACAATTTTATGAAGAAGACAAATTTGATTCCAGATAATATAAAGAAGAAAATAATATAAATATACCACAAGGTAATAATGTAATGGTTTCCATTGGATGAGGAGTTTCACTGTTGATTCAGGTCAGGGATCAATTCCTTTCAAGAGCAAAATTACTAATTCCACCTGTGGTAACGCAGATATAAACTCATTACTTACCGCATATTTTAATATCCGAAGAAAGGGTATATCTATAGACTACACTTCCCCTTAAGAATAAGTCTAGATCTCTCCTTAGATCTAACATAATTTCGGGTTAATCAAAGAAAAAATATATTAATAAAGGTAATCCATGAAAAGTAAGAAATTTTTTGATGATTTTAATAAGCGAAGAACAAAAGTAACAATACAAAGCATAGAGTAGTTATAGGTATTTTTTTCTTCTCAAAATCGGTAAACCCCAATTTTTTCTGAAATTTCGTTATGTGAAAGATATTAAATCCTATTTTTCTCAAATTTAGTTCATCTTCATCTAATTTATTTTTTATTTCTTTCATGATTAATCTTTATAATATTCTATTATTTATGTAGCGCTATTAACTACAAATAAAATTTCATCTGTTTCAAATGATCTATAAGTTAGAAATATTTTTAAAAAGATATACATTTTCAGTGTATTTCTATTAGATAATGATGTTAATATGTAAAATTCAAAAAAAATGTTTTTATTGAATTTCGATTGCATTAAAGTTGTACAAAATAGTTAACCCACCAAAAATAATGTATTTATAATCAAAATTTAAAATATTTTTTAATATGTGTAAAATTCAAAAACAGGAAAAATATATATTAGATGCAAATGAATAAAATTTGAGAAGATTTATCCCTATTAATAACACCTTTTAAATAATGAAGTTCGGGATGCCCAAAGAAAAATAATGAAAATCGGAAAAAGTTGGGGTTGAACCGATTTTGAGATAAACTAAACATGATACATACTAAAATCACGCGTGAAAAGTGGTAATCTTTCTTTACATTATAAGCAAGATCTTCAACGGACAGTTCACCAAACTAAAAAAAAGAAGACATAAATTATAAGAGAAATAAGATCTGTCTCTCTATCTTCAGAAGCGCAAGAAGAAACCAACAGAAAGATGCAGCTTAGAAGCTCAATCTCCAATACAAGAAAATTCTTCCAAAAAACTATTGACAACTTCAAATCATTGTTCTCCAACAATGATACCTATCACAAACTACCCAAAACACCAAACAACCCCTGCATGAAAAATCATTATCATCATCAAAGCCAAAACATCATCATATCATCATCATCACAGACACCATCCATACACACGCCATTTGAACCTAAACCCAGAGACTATGTGACCAAAGATAGCGCTTTGACAAAGCAACGGAGAAGAGGTGACGGAGACGATACAGTCATTTCCGAACCCGAAGTTGAGCTTGTTCGCCTAAAGCTAGAAGAAATGGAAAAGATCATGATGAACATTGATATACAAAACGATGAGGAACATGCCTCAGATGTTAGAGAGTTTATGCATTGCTACTCTCGTCTTCGTTGTGCTGCTTACATCGATGTGGTTGAGCTGTTTTTCATGGAAGTCTACTCTGATTTTTTTAGCTCTCAGCCTCCCGAAAACACCAGAGTGACCGTTCGTCCACGGTACACTCCACAATTGTCAGTTAGATCCTTCAATGGCAAGAAAAACTGACAGAAAAGTTCCGCAGGATGATCTGTCTCCTATAACTGTTTCACCTTTGTTCTTTTTGTTGTCTACATATTACTGTTAACTTCGTGATCGTAGTTGTGGTTGTGGAGTTGTATATTAGTAGTTTCTCATCGAGTCCATAGCAGAGAAAATAAAGTAGTTTGATAAGTTTTTTGTGCTTCCAACTTAAAATCAATTGACAACTATTAGATTGGTCCAAGTTTCTTATATATTACTATGATCCCATTTATATTTTCAATGTGGGATATTTTTTCTCATATCCTCCCTGAAGATAATAGTGCATATAACCATTAATCTTGCATAATCTATCATACCCCTTCGAAATAATGCTCTTTTTCTAGCTACATCGTAGAAATTGAGCCTTATTTGGGCCACCAATTCGTGGGATGATTGGGTCACTGTTCCGGCCAGATTAATGGGTCAGTGTATTGATCCACTTTGATACCATGATAAGTTCTTTGGACTTCCAACATAAAACTAATTGGTGATTCGTGGTTGATCCTAACCCTTTATATATTACTTAAGATTCTATTAAAGTCCGATGTGGGATATATTATCCCTGATACCCTTCCTCGAGATGAAGACTCTTATCGGTCAGAAATCTCGACACTTTAGGTCCTTTATACTCGGTCGAACGAGTCAAGTACGGTAAAACACGATCTTTATACCCTGTCGGAAGGATTAATCAATTAATTAGGAGTTTAGAGTTTTGGATCTGGAATCTCATACTTTATATTTTTGTCAAATTATATTTATTGTATTGTTACAAGATGATCCAAATACATAATATATATGAAATAACAACAACAAATAGTATACTAAAGATGATTAAAGCACAACAATAGATCAAGTGATGCAGAGTAGCTATCTTCTTTATTAATAGAGTATTAACTTTAACAATTTTCTTGCAAACTTTAAATCTTCGCCACATCATTAACACCAACTTCTTTTGTTGTATTATGTTAACCATGGTCCAGATTGGAGTTATAAATAGTCTCCAGTATAGAATCCAATGTACTGATTCAACCATGAAGATTAAAATCTTGGATGGCCAACTCTCAACCGTTGTAAGAATATTGCCATACAAAAAAAAAATATCTTTCACTATGTACTGTCGTTTCTTCCATGGTTTCAACACTAGATCAGATTTATCTATATTTTGATACCAAATATATTGTATCAAAATATAGATTTTAAAAGATTTTTCACTGTTGTGTGAAGTTGTTCTTCTCTTTCTGATCTCATCATGTACCTTCTTCAACCGGTGTTGTAATTTTTCCTGAATCCCAAATTCTGCGGCCAAGAACCCATCTAACTCGTTGTGCACTCGAAGTTTGACAATCTTTTTTCACACTAACATCGCAGTAGATCTTCTCCACCGCGGAGATAAAAATGTCCAAATGAAAATGTCACAAAACTATTCCATTCGAACATTATAATTGAATTCCAATAACCAGTTACGTACTGGATAGTGATGTGTCGCATTTTCCATTGATGATGCTTGAAGAGAAATCGAAATGTGAATACTCCGATTCTGATCAAGAGTCATCATCAAAACATGATCCTTCACATGCTTGGTTAGAAGAAAAAGATATACAAGAGCACTGTACGTGCATCTTTGTATAAAAACCATAATCATGGCCATTGTAAACATCGATATCAGTCTGTGTGTTTTTAGAATAGAAGACTATCAACAAAAATACTCTTGACCTCTTAATCAGAGCAAAAACTTGATCAGTTGAGAAGAAATGGCCATCGCACGAACAACCGCCATTAACCGTTTTTTCTTCTTTGTCTTTGATTTCGGCAGATCTTTTTTACCCATACGCAATCTGATACTTTATTATGGATTTTAAGATCTTTTGTCCAATATATTTAGTTTCTCTATAAGGATATGGACAAATGAATGTATTCAAGCCTATTCAAACACCAATCAACACAACTCGTTTTGTCTCCCAATGAGTGATGGGATAATTACTGATAAAGGTCTAGATAATATGATAAAAGGAACTAACCGTTTTCTCTCCCAACAAAGGTGGCGATTCAAACACTGATCAACACAACTCATTCTTGTCTTCATATTTTCGGCCGTCTCCTGCGATGGTTATACTCTTCCTATTTTCTATATTATTACTTTTAGGTTTATAGAATCGATATGGTTTCAATCTCTCTTTGATAAGAAACATTTTAAACCATTCACGAAAGTGCCTTCTCTTTTTCCGAAAGAGTGTTTGTCCTACGTAAATTCAGCGACTATGTTGGATCATTTGCGTTGATGTTTGTCCATTGAGTAAATTCTATAGCGGTTTAATTTCTTTTAGAATACCTAAATTTTCATGGCATTTCTCAGATTTTAAAGCCTTTCAGTTGGAGAATTTCAACATCTCAACAACAATGGAGGAGAGTGCAATATGACTTCTTTTGCTTATGGAAGTACACAGTTTATAAAACAAAAGAGAATACCTTATTTACTAATCAAGAACAATGTCAAATGTTTCATTCAATGAGAATAAGTCAAAGCAAAAACTTGATAGAAGGATTAGTGTCTAATTGTATAAACATGATCTCAAATAACAGAAGCGATGAGTTTTACTATGATCTTTAGTCATAAATCGCACGCTATATACACAATTCATAAAGAATATCGTATCTTGAGAAGGAAATAATGGAGTTTCATCTTTGTTAGCGGAGATGTCTTCACTTTGAAAAGCATCAAATTCACTTTTCAATTTTATACGTTTAAGTATATGGCGCATATATCTACTAACCAATTTATTTTTAAAATTCTGTTTATTGAATTTGTAGTCATATGGTTAACTCTAACATTGTATTCTACCTTGATTTTTCAAGATAAATACTCTGTCAAAAAAATATAGAGATGAAATCTCATAATCACTTTTAAGTAACCTTCTGATATTTATTTCTACGTCAAATACTCAATTTTATCCATGAACTGTACCTCCCCCCGAGAATTAGGTCTGTGTCAATAAACTCGAATTTAATCTTTTTCAGTTAAAAACAAAAAAAAACTACTCAACTTTATCCCTCACTAATCTTAAAAATGTTATCTTTACCACACATCTGGACGTTTATATTTATTTAAGCTCATTACTTTAACAAACCCAAACCATAGCCTAATATTTAACACTCTCGACCCATTAACTTATTCTTCCTTTTCATCAAAGAATCTACTATGTTAGAGCATCAGCATTGACAGGTACCTCACAGAGAGTATCTCACTCATGTATTTCAATTTTGTCATTAAAATTTTTAAACAAAAAAGGCTTAATCAATAAAAAAAAACACATGGGTAAAGGGGTATGTTAACTGTCAGTGTAAGTACCTTTGCAGAGAAACGTTTCCTTACATTTGTCACTCTCATTCTTTCTTCTCTTATTTTATTGATTGTTATAATCTTCAAAACTATAATGAGAAACTACCACTAACGGTGGCCTTATCCTCTCTGCCCACTAATCCGAGCAATGTCTCCATAACTGTTACTCACAAAGACCAATTCGTTTCACCATCAAGGAGCTGTTGGTTTCACCATCAAGATGAGCTATCTGGATGGAGATGAAATTTTTGTTCTTTCAAACATCAAATTACAACTCATCTAAATCGTTCATCTGGATGAGTTTTATAAATTTAGATATAATTTTTAAAATCAGCCAGCTGAACCAAATTGAACCATCTTGATGGATATAGTTAAGATTAAATGATATAATGTGGATTACACCCTGATATAATTCACAAATTACAAATGTAAACCTAGTATCACTTTTTCACTCTCGCTCTCTCGCTGTCACTTGCGAATCTCACTGTCTCTCTGTCTCTCTCTCTCTCTCTCGCCATGAAAAGAGCTTGAGGTCACCTCACCGTCTCTTTCTCTTGTCGTATCTTGTCTTTCACCGTCTCTCTCTCACATCATATCTTGTATCTCTCGAGCTTGTGCTCGTTTCATTGTAGATCTAAGATTCACTTGGGCTTATGTTGGATTTGCTTATGTATATGTTTGAGAATTTGTTTATGAAATATGATGTATTGATGTAGCATATAGATTGTTGGTATGTATTAGGTTTGATTGATGTCAGATCTGATCAGTGATGGGTTTAATGGATCTTTTATGGAAGAACAAGATTTTTTTCTGTGGATATCTTTTTTTTAGTATAGCGTTCAACTTTCATGGCTTCTGGATTTGCTTATTTATGTGGGTTCTGTCCACAATATATTGAAGTTCAAAGTCACGTTAGTCTGCTACACTTTGGAATCTGTTGGTTTTACGTAATAGCAAAATGTGATCTTTTGTCGCTCTCTTGTTCCATAAAGTATATATATATATAGTGAGTTGTTTTAATATAGATTTGCTTTATGTAAATTTACATATTTTATGTTCTTTTTGAAGAGCTGCGGCACATATGCTTGATGAAAAGGAACAATCAGAGTCTGGGGACTTTCCTCGTGTCGCCGCGCATAGGACGTCATGTTATCCAAGGGGTTCTATATCGAGACCAAGATTGGCGAGAAGGATTATTTTTCTTCAAGGTCGATCATCTATCAATGGGTGACTTTGACTTCACGAGGATTCCTCGCCTTTGGTCCGACGATATAGGTTAATTCTGAATTATTTGGTTATCTTATCATATATGCTATTATTAACTTTGATATCTGACTTCTGGAGTTTCTTTATGGGTTTTAAGTGCATTCCGGGAACTCTCCAATGTTGAACAACCTTCGAGGTCTGTTGAAGACATTGCGACGAGATCGCATGGACTAGTCCTATTTCGTTCGCGAACGAGTCCGCACCGCTTTTTTACTGCCATATAGGATTAATCGAGCGCCGGTTATTACCTGCAGTTCGATCAAGCTCAAGGATATCGAGTGACCTTCTAGTGGTCCTCCTCCTTCCGCCAGATCGGATAGACTGTTAGTCAGGAGGTCGTCGTTCAGGAACCGGAGACCTGTTGCGGGGAGCAGAGGTCTCGAGAATTCGCCTCTAATCATGATTCTGGTTTCAGACGTCGAGGGGACTTCCAGAGCGGAGGGATCCCGGATCTCTTTGAGTCCTGGTTCTGAGGAGGACTCCGGTGCCAAAAACTGCAAGCACTGTCATTTGTCTCGAATTGCATCTCGGACGTCGCGAGATATTTATTCGCT